TGGGCAAGCCTGACAGCTTTCTGACTGATTGACCAGGGGTTGGTGGTTGGACAGAGCTGTGCAGGTGGAGGAGACTGAAGGTCCTCTTAGTTCTGTAGGTTGCTGCTGAGCACCGAAAATGGATGTTGTTCAGGAGGTCTGCGAAGATGGACCTTTTGGAGACCTTTGGTTCACAGGATGACTTTGGCAGGAGCGGCGTTTCCCCCCTCCATCCAATCAAGCAGAGTGTCTTGAATAAAGGTTTGTAGAACCACACCAGTAGAGGTGGGTGGTAAGCCTGGCGAATTGAGCAAAAAGCCATGATGGACCATTTGGTGAGCAAACCTCAGAGGACTGCAGCAGTATCAGGGACAATACGGGTGCTGTCAAAAACATGGCTGCCCGAAGACCGCGTCTTCGGACATGCAAAGGCCAGGGCCTTGATGTGGAACACCCCATCTCATTGAAAACCGGCCAGTTTGATGGTCACAGATAGAGTTTCCATGTTGTGTTGTTTCTTGGTGCGTGCAACATAATCATGAAGATGTCCAAAAACCGGTTGAGTCAAAGAACAAACAGAACACAGAAACTAGGTTGAAACAGGTAAAATAAATTTGAACTGCACGGCAGTAAAATACTAAAAATTTGTCCAAAACTAAAACATAATTTTCCCCCTAACAATCTAAAACATAATCCAAAAAAATCCTGAGAAGACTACCTTTAAGGTACATAAAAACTACAAATTAAATTTTCTAAGGTCTTACCTCGCCGTAGTATTAGCAATTTCTTTTCCAACATTATCGCTTTTAGATGGTAAGCATGGTTGTGTGAAGGTAACTTGGAACCTCTGTTTAGATGCGGTATTTTTCCATCGTTGTGGAAGACTGCTTTTTTTAAACTCAAATTCAAACAAGGGACCCTCACCAGATTGTTGTGATGTGGGAAGGGAGAAATGAAGAGCGTCTAGTCGTTGTTGATCTAATTGATCGTAATGCTGATTTAATTGGTCATCCGAGATGTTTTCTCCAGTCTGTTGTTGTTGCTGTTTGAATTGATGGTAATACCAGTTTAATATTTCATCTGGAAAAAAAGGTATCTTTTTGTGTAGGTTACAGGAGAATCAATTTCCTTTAGCCATCTAGCTGGTTTGAGTCTCTCCATCATCCCTGTCAGGATCGACTGTATGAAAGCTTAAAGATAGTACATGTCCACCTGTTCAGTGAGTAGGGTGCTATTAGCTCTGCAATTGATTTTCTTGAAGAGGGTGTGTGCAATATTGTTTGCTGGTGAAGTCATCATACCCACACTGGTTGCGCGCGCTGTGAGATTGGCATTTTCTGTGGTTTTGAAACCCCAATTCAGTTGGACAAAACTTCTCAAAAGATCAATGGGATCTGATCGTTATTCCACGTACATTTGGATAGGAGTAAAACGAGAAGTCTGAAGTGATATTTTGACATCGCTATTTTACCGTAGAGAGATCTGTAGGTGGTATTCTAGAGAGATCTAGACTTGGATTCTGCTCTGTCCCTTTGATAGACATGGTGATGTGTCTGTTTAACGTCTTTTGAATTTATGCACACGCTGTCGCATTCCTATTTTCTTTATATGACTTGTGAGAAATCCTCCTTGTTGTTGTTGCTTTCTTTTTCTCCCTTTACACCTTTTTTAAGATGGAAGACAGGATCCGTCAGTGATGCTGTGCCTACACCAATGATAGGATCACTTTGATGTACGGTATTGATGTGGACCATCTTTTATTCTCCAAAAATATCATTCGATCTCTTGGAAACTTTCCTCTTTAATTCGTTCTCAAGCGCTTGGGATGCCCCTCTCTTTATACCTCGCGTTTTTGGTTCCACAGTAGACTTTTACTCTAGGTCAGGTCAACAAGCGACATGACCTCTAGTGTACTCAAGTTGTAATCATCAAAGCTGTACAAGGTACTTGCTTAAGAACTAACTGGTGTGAGGTGCTATTGTTACACAAATCACAATATTTGAATAAGGACACAAAGGAACGGAAAAAGTCTCTTTGAAGTTAAACGGAAACTACTCAAATATTCCATCTGTTCGTGCGACGGAAAGAATCTCAAAAGTAAAAATGACGGAAACAATAAACTCAAGGCCATTACAGTAGGAAACTTAGGTGTGAATACACAGCTCTGATATGGAAAACAATATCTATCTTAATTGCAGTACTGCAGCTTAGGAAATAAAAAACGGAAAAGCAATTAAAAGTTTCTGCTTATCTATGTAAGGTTGGTGTGGAAACTATCGTATGAAAAGAAATCAAAGTTATGAGTATAAACTCAGCTGCTAACTACCATGAAAACCCATTTTTCCAGAAAGACCATCAACACTTATATTTACCTAAAAAAAACCATGTAATAAATAACAAAAGTGCCAACAAGCAGGTGCATATGATGAAAGCGAGTAACAACAAAAATTTATTCAAAAGCTACTGTGGTTTTTATACATTTATTTAACTCACTAGAAGGAAAAACCCGAATAACCCAAATATTTAAAATGCGAAACTAGGAATACATGTGGTGGATATGTGCCCAAAATTCACGAAACCCTAAGTATAATATTTTATGTTGTACATTGACAATTCAATTTTTGGATTATAATAATTACAATCATTGTGATAGCCACAATTTGAATTGAACCACTCATTTATCATTCTTTACAGTTCAACCGGTTGAGTCAAAGAATGAACAGAAAACAAGATAAAAATTTAAACTCGAAAAACCAAAAACCTGAATTGAAATAAAACCTGAAATAACACTGCGCACATGAATTTTCCCCTAACATTCCTCCCACCATAAATTGAGACCTCCTGGTCCAGGAAAATAATGATGAATGAGGGAACAAAAGAGTTCTGATTGACAAAAGTGCTAAATACTATAAGAAAAAGATAAGAAAACATGATCATGGAGGCCAAGTTATAGCCGCAAAGTTCAATTTGAAGCCCGACCTTGTGGAAGTTCAATTATGATGTGAGGCCTTGTTCCGCAAGCCACTGGGCCAGGCGGACGGCCTCCTGACAGAGCGACCATGGCTTGGTGGCAGGGAACCGCTGGGCAAGTGGAGGGCAGTGGAGATCCTCCAGGTTGCGGATGTCAATTTCGAGGTGCTGTAATTGCACGGTGTCCAGGAGATGTACTATTAAAGGAACTTTCTGGAGGCCTTTTGTCCAGAGCACTACAGTGGTGGGGGTGTCGTGTCCCACCTCGATCCAGTCAAGCTAGGCATCCTGAATCCGTCTTTAAAAATCTGCAGATCTCCCTCTAGATACCTGCCATACTTGTTGACCCAGAGATATTCAGAAGTGACATCAATGTAATGTACTTTTTCTCCCTGAGCTTCATTGGTCTTGTGCTACAAACACATAGCACCTGTAATTCTGCTGTAAAAAAAATGTCATAGATCCTAGGGGTTCTACCATTTTGAACTCTTTAAAAAATTGTACCAAACGAGGATTGCACTCTGACAGGTCATCTGAAAAACATTCCTACATTCCCACCGTGGTGGGAATTATGTTCCATTCACTTACAGCGTCTGTGAAGGTATACCCTATTATGTTGTGTAGAAAGAAGAATGGTGGCAAGGTGTTAACACACACACCCATACATGTACACCCTAGATAAGACTTTGTCTATTTCATCGAGAGATTTATCCTAGAAAGGCGAGCATCCTCGTAAGAGAATGATAGAAACATGTGCAAAGTACAGCTTGTTACAAGTGGCTCGCGCCAGGCACCTATCGGGCAAATCATAACTAGTGTCCAGATCTCTCATCTAATGTTGCGTTGTGCTCTATCTCTCCCCAAGTCTTTAGTGTTCCTCATGCTTGCATATGGGGGATAGTGAAGACTGATAAGAACACAAATGTTAATTTGAATTAAAGAACAAAACTAAATATGGAATAGTGTCATTTGACTGTCTCATGGATCTAATGACTAAGTCACTGTTCCAATAGTCCTTTGGAGTTAAAGTCCCGTAGCCGACGCAGGGCTAAGGGAGGTTTCTTTGGTCGTTCTGGGGGTTTCGGCGGGCTTGACGGCACCAATGGATCTGCTTGGGGGCTGGACGCGTGCGTTCGTGGAGTTGCTGTCGAGGGGTGCTCAGGAGATGGGGAAGGTGTTTGGTTGCTAAGTTGTATCTGTGGTGCATTTGGCTTTGGGCTGGGGCTGTGGTGGTCAGGTGTCACTGCTGCTGGGGTTGGCCCAGTTAGTGGCTGTGCAGGGGATGGTTGTGGGGGCATCCTTGCTTGTGCTGGGGTGGGGGCGATTGGCTTGGGCGGTCCGTGTGGCAGCATAGCAAGATGACGCAGGTCGTCATCAATTGTTAGGTGGGGCGGTGTGGTCTGTACCGGGAGGTATTTCCTTAAGAACTTGCGGTTGCGGGTAGTCATCCTCCCTGAGCCGTCGATGCGGATGACATACTGGTCGAATTGGCGAACCTCGACCATGACTCCTGTCTTATCCCACTTAGTGGGGTAGGGGCCTGTTTGGTTCTGGATGCGAACATGGTTACCAACGGCCAGGGGTGGGAGTCGCTTGGTGTGCTCAGACCATCTCTCTGCAGCTTTCATGTGGCGGTTTCTTAGTGCTGCCTCTCTTGTCGCGAGGGTGTCACGCCAGGTAGGGGTGTGGTTGGTAGCGACCAGGTAAGATAGGTATGAAGTCCTTGATTGGCCTGCCGAAGACACATTGTGCAGGGGATAGCTGAGTATTCGGGTCGGGTGTGTTTCGATATTGAAGGACTGCACGCTGGAAGGAGTCAGTATCTAGGCTACCAGATGGGGTGGTGTTGTCAGTGATGAACCGTTTGACTGATTTGACGCCAATCTCTGCCCTGCAATTTGAGTGTGGGAATGCCACTGACGACAGACGGTGGTGTATGCCCCAGTCTTTCAGGAATTGGCGTGTGGCTGTTGCTGTGAATTCAGGGCCGCCATCTGTTGCGAGTTCGTCTGGGATGCCGAATGTGGCAAGGGTTCGTCGTAGACAGTCAATCAGGCCTGTGGATCCCTCTCTTGCTCGCTCAACGAGGGGCCAGTTGGAGTAGCGGTCTCACGATAACAAGGTAGGTAACCCTTTGTAGTGAAAGAAGTCGGGCGCAAACACATTGGAACGGGTAGGCTGGGGGTACAACTGGAGAGGGCGGTGAACTCGGTTGAGAGGGTGCCATGCGGTTGCAGTGGTTGCAGGTTTCCCGTGAGGGCAATGATGGCTGGGGTGATGCCTGGCCAGAACACTGTGCTTTCGGGCGCGTGCTGTCATGGAAGTCACACCTTGGTGGGCTGAGTGCAAGACAGTCAGAATATGCTGGCGGAGAGAGGGTGGTATCACGATGCGATTCTTGTAGAGGATGATGCCATCAACTGTATAGAGGTGTTCGCGAAATTGATGGTACTCCCGAAGGGCAGGTGGTAGCTCGTTACGGGATTTAGGGAATCCAGTCTCGATAAGATGAATTAGCTGGGTCATTGCCCTGCTGCTTGTTGTGGCCAGCTTGACCCTATCCCATGTGACGGCAATAGTGTTTAATGCCGATGAGGCTGATGAGGCTAGCTGGTCGTCAATGGTGATGGAGCAAGTGCCCGGTTGTGGTTCGGTGTGGCGGATGCCGCCAAGAAGGAGCGTCCGGAGTTATCTAATTGCGGGAGAGCGGCCAGGGTTGCGGTTGCCGTGGCTATGTCGTCTGGCAAGACTAGCAGGTCTGGTTTGGTGGTTCCCGTAGGATGGCGGGATACAGCATCGGCAGCTTTTGTGTCGCACGCCAGGGATGTGTACCATTCTGAACCGGTAACGTAAGCTTTTTTCTCCTTGAGGTTGCGGAGCCGGGCGTTGGTGATATCTTCAAGGGACCGGTCTCCAAACACTTTTAGGAGGGGCTTGTGGTCGACAGCAATGATCAGGTTACTGCAACCCAGGACAAAAAATCGTGCTTTGTCAAGCGCGTCGGCAACGGCTAGGGCTTCGCCCTCTACTGGGGCATAGCGTGATTCAGCGGCGTGTGTGAAACGGCTCCCAACCAAAGTGATCTTCCAGCCTGTACGACAACAGAAGGGTTCGGGGGATGGGCACTGGCAGTGTTTCTGGAACAGCCAGAATCCGATGCCGCTTTTGGACCAGTCGGTTGCCAGGCAGGTTGGTTTAGATTTGTCAAAGATACGCACACCCTCTTCGATTTCACTGATAATCACTGATTTGGATTCTTCAAAGAGTGTGTGCAGTTTGTCGGTCCATTGGAAAGGGGTGCCGGGCTGGAGGAGCTGGCGGAATGGCAACATGCGCTCAGTCGCTGCGAAGGCATAGGAGACCTGGTTGATCAGGCCAAACCAGGAGCGGACATCCGTGATGTTGGCTGGGATTGGAAAGTTGCGGATGGCATCGAGGTATTGTTTGCATGGCCGCACACAGCTTGGGGTGATCTCAAATCCTGCGAATTCGACAGTGTCGGCTCCAAAGACGAACTTGTCTGGGTTAAGTATGATACCATTGTGTCCGCAGAGGTTGAGCCAGTCAACCGCCTGGAAGAAACTTTGGTCAAGGTTGTCTGCCCAGAGAAGGGTGTCGTCGATGCATTTGGTCTTGTTAGGAACGTGGGACACGATCTCATCAAACCGTCTTGAGTAGCCGTCGCCAGAAGCTATGTAGCCTTGAGGTGCTGTTTTATAGCGGTAGCGACCCATGGAGTGATGAAGGTGGTGAGGTGTCGATCGTCCTCATGGAGGGGAACGCTGTGGTAACCATTCCAACAGTCAAACATGGTCTTTTTGGTGTTGCTTGGGATTGAACGTGCCTGGTGGAAGGGGCTTTGCGTGTGGTGGGTTTCACGTGTCGCGTGGAGGTTGAGCGCCTGGAAATCGACTGTGCGGCGGGGCTTGCCATTCTTTTTTTTAGCACATACAACCATGCGGTGGCACCAGGTGACGGGTTCTCCTACTGGCACTGGTTCGAGGACACCCAGTGAGACGTCCTGGTCGAGTCCTGCCTTGACCTCCTCTTGCCAGTGAAGTGGCACTGGTATGGGGTTGTGGTGTGCGACTGGTTTCGCTTTGGGGGTCAACCATTAGCCTCATAGGGATGCTCTCCATTAGGGGTAGTGGCTGGTGCTCGCATGTATTGAAGGTGCTGGTTCGGTAGTAGTCCAGCAGCCACTGTTGCATCTTCATCCGACTGTTCTCTGTTGCTGGGAAAGGGGTGGTTGTGGGCTTCGGTGGCGGTGTGATGCGACGCGGGCAGGTGCATGGGGGGCTGTCTGAGCCCTCAGAAGTTTGCATATCTCTGTCTGACGGGGTTGGTGCAGTTGCATTGCAGGCTGTGTCTGGCTCGATTGAGCTGCATGTGTTTAGGGTCTCCCCCAACATGGGGAAGTTCTTAGTGATAATGCCCAGTGCCATGCATGTCTCGGCTGAGGAAAAGTTTGTCTGAGTCGCTTGTCACGTATACGATCTGTCGGCTTTCCAGGGCTTTTCCGGATGGAGACCTGCCCGAGAACCTTAAGATGACTGCGCCCAGGATGCTGATCCCTTTGTTGTTCACAGCGTGCATTTTCATAGTGACGGGTATCAGGTCACTCTCACAGAGGCCCAGGCGACGGATGACTTTTATGCTAGCCAAGCAGCTCTGGCAGCCTGTGTCAGCCATAGCAGAGAGTTGTGCTGTTGCCAACTGTGATTTGGGTGGGTTGTATCCAAGGGCTGTGTAGTCTTCAGGATGGGCTGTCGCTGTAAGCATTATGAACGGTTGAGGCTTGGATGGCTGTCGAACCCAGTGATCAGTTAGGTGGCAGTAGAGGTGGTGGTCGAGTGAGATGACTCCTTTGCTTGGCCTGCTGAGGCTAGTTGTGGTGCAAAGTGAGTCAAAAATTGCGCTTTCCGTTTCTCTGCTCTTGCCAATGGGGTGTCGGCGGCTGTTGGGGCCTGTTGCTTTTGCCCCTGCTGCGGCAAACGCTGGCAAAGTGGTTCTGCCGTCCACACTTGTCGCAGATGGTGCCATAAGCTGGGCAGTCATGACGGCGGATTCTGGTCGGCGCGCTCTTGCCATGCCCTCTCTTGTTGCAATAAGAGCACAGTTCGTTCGCGTCCCCATCCTTACGTTGCTTGACCTCATCATTTTTGGCACGACGATACTGACTTTGTGCGGCGTCTGTACTGTGGCTTTGTGACAGGCGGCCTGCTGACCGTTTGCCGGCCTCTTTTGCCTCAATGAATTGGAACACCTCCTCAAGGCTCATGTCTTGGTTTCGTTCCCCCAACAGGTCTAATTGGATTTCGCTGTCAGCCAGGCCACGTGTGAGGACATCGCGAAGGACGTTCTCCGTATAGTTGACCTCTATGTTGCAGCCAGGGCAAGTGACTAAAAACTTGCAAACACCAGCTTGGCCGCGAAGGCGGGCACCAAAACTACGGATCGTCTCATCCCGGTCTTGCCGCATGTTGTGTAGCTGCACACGGGCGACCATTGCGTTCTCCTCCCGTACTGCAAGCTTTTTTATGGCTGCCATGACCTCATCTGCGGTTTTGTCGGTGAGGGAACCGCCCGCGTTTCTTGTCAGGTCTTTGCGAAGTTGTTCATCACAGCACTCGAGGAGCTGGATTACCTTTTCTTTGCCGGTTACATTAGTTGCCGCAACATAATCGCCCGAACGCATTAGAAAATACGACCAATCCTCACTCGATCCTGCTGCCGAAATTGTCGGACGGCGTACTCTTTCGAGTTTCGTGCTAATGTTGGGGTTGATCGTGTTCACTGTTCCTGGAGTGACATGTACTCCCGAAGAGTGCACTGATAGAAGGACGGCCGCGAGCGTGTCTGTAACTTCCTCTGTCTCGTAGGTGCATTCGGGGAATGGGCATTTGTATTTCTTCGACATTGCGTACTATTGTAGTCCGGGAAGAAAACAAAGATGGCAGTCGATCGGCGATCGATGGCCGCGTTCTCCTCTGTTCGACGTATTACTGGGTAGTCCGCTTGCAACCGGTGTCTCGTTCGCCAGATCAATCCGTGTTGAAGTATGTTTCTATCATAGATAAGACTTTGTCTATTTCATCGAGAGATTTATCCTAGAAAGGCGAGCATCCTCGTAAGAGAATGATAGAAACATGTGGAAAGTACAGCTTGTTACAAGTGGCTCGCAGTAGGCACCTATCGGGCAAATCATAACTAGTGTCCAGATCTCTCATCTAATGTTGCGTTGTGCTCTACACCCCAACAGACTCGTCCATTTAAACAACAAATATATCAACCACAACAAAATGTTTCATTGATAAAAAAACCTAATTCAATTTCAAGGCATGTGCTTTCCCTGGTGGAGTGCACTCAGAAAAAAGAGAAACACAATTGTTGTTTTGCCTAAAAAAAAAAACAAAACAAAACAAAACAAACAAGAAAACAAATTTAATAAGCTGTCATTCGCCTATTACCACCTGGTGTTAAAGGAACTCAACAATAACTATGGTTCAACGAGTTCAACTTTCATTGGTTCCTTTATTTTCTTGACCCTCTGTTACTCCTCAGTTTGAAGGTTTTGAGGGTTAAAAAACGGTGGGAATGAAAAGACTTGAAAATACATTTAACAGGCTTTTTAATTAGAATCAAGAAGAAGCAAAGACGGATCCTACCATGAGGAAACAAGCGGAAATGATTTCTTTACTGGATGAACAGCTTGGATTTGGACCTAGTAAGGGAAGAAAGAAATAAAAAAAACCTAAAAAAAGTGAGAAGACAAAAAAAAAGAAGGGAAAAGGAAAGATGAACATCAAATTATTAGTTAAAACAAATATAAAGGACCACAAGGACTCTGTTTGAATAAGGACACAACTTTATTAACTTTACTTAATATGCAAAAATGCCCCTAAAAAATCAAAACTTATGAAAATTAATGATTAACCCCAAGCAATTCAAATATTGCTTCTGTATCATAAATATGAAAGAATAAATGAACAGAATACCTTAATTGCAAATAATTTGTTGTCGACATGAACAGTATTGCTATATGCTTGTACTGTACAAAATAGTTTACACTTTGTTTATTAAAATAAGTGCAAATAAAAATTTTAACTTGATGCTAAACTAGTAGCAAATTTACTAAAGTATCTTTGGCTATCAATACCCTAATATAAAAAATATTTCTAGGTACACATTCATTTCGTCATTGTTTATCCCAACTGTAATAACGCAAGTAACAAGAGGCATTTCTGCATATATAAAAATCCTATGAAACCATTGCCCTTTTTGGGCAGTTTGCCAGTTCATAGTGTCCAGGCAGAGCTGTTTTAGATGTGACAGTGGAGATCTTCTAGATTCTTGACCAAAGGGCCAAGTTGGGAAAGGAAGCTTTGTCAGTTCCTTGCTTCATAACTGTTTTTATGTTCCACAGATTATGGAGTTCCTCTAAATCATTAAACAAGATTCTAGATTCTCCTTCTAAATTTTGACTGCCATTAATAAAACTTTGTCTCTCTTATTTGGATCCCCCACCAAACTTTTCTTTAAAGCATTGTTTGTATCATATTCAGTTACTAAGTCGATTTGGAAGCTTTTTGTCTCTGCGGAAATGTTGATGTTTTAGTGTGACTGTACCGGACGATAGAAGTCCTTCAGTTTTGAGCTGTCAAATGATGTTTTCAGCTAAGTACTGCTGGTAGAGACCCATCGGTAACACCTTGCTGATGGTATAGGAACCTGACCACACCTGCTCCAGTTTGCCTGGTCACAATTTCAATCTAACTGTCTCTTTCTGTTGCTTCATCAGAGAGGTCATCCTCTTGGGTCTCTTCATCCTTCCTGGGTAACTCTGGCTTCTAACCAATCATAGACCATTATTTTGTACCACAACATGCAAATGGACCAATCATATGATGTTATTTGAAAATTACCTATAATTCTGAAATTTTTTAGCGGCTATAGAAAGTCCGCCTGAAATGAAGTCATCTGTTTAGAAGGGAAAAAAAGGCCAAGTAGTCATTTTCCATTCTGTGTGAAATCAAAGTGAGACCAACACAAAAGCGAACAAAAGCTTCAAGAAGTTTAAATGTCACGGTTTGTCAATAATCTCTACTGACGAATTTAACAAAGCTTTTAGTCTATTGGTTATATCCTGAGTTGTGCGTGCAGACCAACAATAGGTCATGCAAGAACATAGTGTGGTCTTTTCTGTAATTCATATACCTGATAAAACTTGATGACCAAATAAGCATGCTCTCGGTTCCCATTTCTTTTTGCAGTCAATGAAATGACTACATCTTAAAGCAATGCTATTTGTGCTGCACACATTTAACCATATAATTGTCCGTAAATCTCCCACTGTTTCTATGGGTTGCGCCCAGTTCCAGTCATTTACTGCCTTAGGGTTAGTTAGGGCTGACAAAAGATTTTGGAAAAAAATGATATAGATCCTACATCATCAATTGGGAAACCATAACAGAAACCATTAATTAGGTATTATGTCAATCAAGCAGGGTATCCATCCAGATAGGCCTTAAATAACTGGAGTGAAACTGATGTTGACAGGGGACAAAACAGGGTGGAATGTGAAGAGAGATTTGTTAGCTGAGAAGTAATTGATCATTGTCGGCTGGGGACAGTACATTGCATTGCTGGATGCTGAATTTCACATCTAAAGCATTCATGTTTGAAGTTGCAGCCAAAACACTTTCCCTCTGGTGAAATTTCCAGCAGAACCCAGACGGAAAGGGCTGCCAAGAAGTTCTGGTGTGCTGTGCTAATGACATTGTGAGAGAAAGTTTGGTCAGGTGGTGCACCCTCAACCACAATCCCCAAAGAATCTGGAACCATGGGAAAAAAAAAATTAACCCCCACCCGTATCCGTACAGTTATTATACAAACTGGGATCGAGGTAAAGAGATGCTGCTTAAGCCTACTTCCCATTCACCTTCGAAGTCCATACGTTTCTCCTATCTATTTTTCATGAATTGTTTTTTGTTGTTTGGAAAATACTTGATACTTCAATTTTTGCTAGGTAATGTCAAGTAAATATCACTCATGATTGTACTCTGCGAAAATGAAGTGTTACTATGGAAGCGCCATCATCAAACTGAGTCAACTCGTTTCGTGTCAGACTCACTTATTTGAGTTTCCACCACATCAAAATGATTGTTGCGTGAGGCTAAATAATGAATTTGGGGTGGTGTATAGAAAAAACTTCCACCCAACTTGGGGTTGATAAGGGGTTTGTAGTATCAAATCTGTGGTTTGGGTCCTCATGACAACGGGTTCTCCCAAAGAGGAATAGACGTAGAGACTTTCGGTAAGGTAAGGTAAAAACTCAACATGTTTTCAAGCAATGACACAACTCCAAATGATGGCAGTTTCACAACTTTTATTGCATTTAACACCCACTGAAATTACAATTTAGCTTTGAGTTTAGCTTGCATGATACGTTTGACAATACGTTCTGTGATGGTTTTTCTACCTGTAAATCTATCGATACCGGCAATCATCCTACGATCTGCGACGTGTTTGTCAGCCAGAGTTTTAGCTGTACTATAATGGATATCATGCTGTTTAGCTAACTTATCGAGTCTATTAATCCCAGGATCTATGTGTTTCAACCATTTGGTTAATTTGGTACCAGTCCCCATGTATTGATACCCAGGCCAATGAAACTCCACACCCATCTTGGAAATCCATTTCTGTATATGAAAGGTGCTTCCTGTCTGCTGCCTTCTACTCTTTACAGTTCTTCCCCCAGCCGTTGCCTTTGCTCGTTTTGGGCATCTCATTGTCTTGAAAGCTTGGAAAGGATCCCAACCTCGTTTTTCACAAGTCTCCAAGTTACTAAAAGCTTTTAACTGTTCCGTTTCTGTCTTTCACTTTTTCTTTATAGGAGTGGGTGACTTTAAAGGGGTTGTTGCCTTCTTTTTTTTCTGAAGTAGAAGGTTGTAGAGGTGTAGAAGGTAACAAGTGTTTTCCGGTAAGGATAGGTGACGAGGGTAAACCCTTTAAACTTTTCCAAGAATTGGGTTTCTTAGAAGTGCTTGGTTTGGCTGGTGTGACAGGTTCCTCCTTTGGTTCTTGCTTCATCTGAGGTGTGATAGGTTGGCCTTTGGTATTTGTAGAACGAATCAGTTCTTTAATGAGACCATCTCGTATCGAATCTAACATATGCTCCTCAGGAGGGGGCGCTCCCAGACCGGCAGACATAGGAATCTGTCTCAATTGATCGGTCAATTTATACTCTTTCATCACCATAGGTTCTTTTAAACCTGCATGTGTCATAGGATCTTGTAAGAGAAGCTGCACTTCCGCGGGCACACATGCTGCTTTATCTAACAAGGTACTCTTGGTGTTCTCAGTGGGGAGAAAAGCCATTACCAAAGCCACTGAGTACGTAACTTTCGGTTTTTCTTTCTGTATTTTGGTTTTGTTGCCTTTCTAGGAAATTTTGAACGTCAATGTCTATAAGCAATACAAATTTTTACATGATTTAGAAGCCACTATCTGAGAAAATCTCGACATATGACTATGGATCAAGAATGGTGCATTGCTGAATTTCCTATCATGAGAGACTGGGGCGAATTTTACGAACGTCGGACAAAATTGGTGAGTTGGGTGGTTGTTTAATTTTGTTTACTTAGTAAAATACCATTGTTTTTTCCCCTAGCATACACCCAAAAGAAGCAAACGTGGCACAAAAAAGGTAGAAAATCAAGTATAGCAATAAGCACCTCTCACATACCACACAAAACGTACAGAAATGCTTTCTCTATTAGGAAACCTTTTAAAATGAAGACAACAATTAAAAGAAGCAGTGAAAAATTGGCAGAAAGGGCAATGGATAATGATTTGTTGAAGTTTGTGTGGATATAAAGGGATGTAAAGGACATGGTAAGTTAAATAATGAAGGATCTTGACACTTGAACAGTACGGCAGCATTTTTATAAGGCCAAGAAAATTTAGTGGAATAAAATCAGGACTCTCGATGCAACTTCATTATAACAATTCTTACAAAGCCAGAATTTTGTTTAATGACCATGATTACAAGAAAAGCTGAAGAACTCTATGACCACGTAGTTTTTAGACCAAGATTTCAAAACTTGGAAAGTCTCAATGTATGGTACTCCAACCGAAATCAATTAAACAGTCCTGTGGCCTCAAGGTCAAACACAATCACATCAGTAAAGCAAACAATAGGCCTTGGAGGTAAGAAGCATATCTTAATGTATGGACACCAGAGCAAGGAGGTTATCTATTTGCTGGATTTATTACAAGACAGGAAGGAACACAAAAATAACAATTTTGTTGCCAAAGTATAACAGGGTAGATCCTAGTGGATTTAACTATGTCCCAGTATAGCAGGGATCAAAGCAGTGGCATCCCTTTAGAATAGGAATTATAGCTGCCGGTAAAATCCCTTAATTATTGGGTTTTCATGGGCAAAAGGAATTTGAGCATGCATCGATCTGTATACATAACAACGTTGATGAGAGCAAAGCTGTACCAGAGAGATTCAAGAACTTTTCTCCAGAGACACAGTTTGGGGAACGTGTAGTTAAGTTGTTTGAAGATATTTCAGGTGTGTTAACTGTATTATTTCGAACTGTGTTAGTTCTGAAAACTCCACTGGGAGTACCTATTAATGATGATGATGATGATGATTGCTATTGTTATCCTTTCAATACCTTCCAATTGTTTATTAGATTAGCGAATCTCTGTTATTTAAAGTTCCAAATGGGAAGAAAGAGGATGGTTATTGTTGGACTGAAATTCTGTTTCTGTTATCATTATTTTTCCTATCTTATTGTCAAAAAAATGTAGATGAGGCCTCCAAAAAACATTTTAATCTGCAGAGTTATTTTTAAATTTTGTGTAGAGTATACCAGGTACTTTTACATTAGAGTGCCTTAGATTTTAGGCTTGTACATCATTACATAAGGAAAAACAAAATTTGATCAAGACTAGTGTACATTAGAGTTAGTGGTAACATACTGATCATAGCCAGTATACAATAAAAGTGAGAAAATGAGACTTCTTAAAATTTTAAATTTAACAGAACTGACAATTGATTTTGTGAGTTGCTTCCAAATATGTTTTAATCTCGTATTTGTTTGCTCACTCCACTTTCTTTTGAGCCAACTGGAGTTTTCAAAATATTCACAATGTGTACAAAGATTTTGAAGCAATAACCAAGCAAATCAATTCGATTTATAGGCCAAGAAGCATTCAAAATGGTCCAGTCTCTTATTCATCCTTTGAAATTTTAATTGTAGATTCTTCGCGGTGCAACATCAAGCCTGTTCATACTGGCAATCACATTTTAAAGGTGGGCACTTGTGAAGAATCCTCTTTTTTTAGACACAAGGCTGCAATATCAAATCCTTTATCAGTAAGAACAACTTTTACCCTTGTTTATCTTGTTTAGCACTTGGCATTGGTCAGTTATGTCCTTATCAGATATGGTATTGGAAAAAGTGTCACTGCCATGGAGAAAAGCACTATGGGGATAATTCGAAACTGATATTTTACCAGTGGTCTTTTTATGAGCTGAAAGTGATATTATTAATGTCGTAGTTCTCTGATTGAGTTATCCAAGTTTCAGTTGCATCTCCCAAAATTACTGTTTCCCCATACCCAGCATAATGAAAGTCTTGTGGGAGGAATGCTTGGACAAGTGCGGGTAATGGCTTGAAATCAAGGCACTCAAACAAATTAGATAAGAATACAGCCCATGCTACAAAGATTCAAGCAATTGTCGACACACTTGTTTGCACTGTCCAGGCCATTATCCATAGGTGCAACAAGTCTGAAAAAATTGTGAATCAAGTCATGAGTGCAGTCTTGGCATCTAACTTCCTGCTCTTTGTTTCAAACCTTCACCCTTACAATCAGGGTACCTGATAAGATACATGCATGGTTTAACACACTCATACAAACAGTCAAATTTGTATGTTTTAAGACCAGTTTAATAAAATTATTTATTCTGTTTGTCTCTCAAGTTCATATTGTTAAATTGTCCTTTCTTCATTTCAATTTTTTTGCTTTCCTGGAGTTTTTCTTTCTTCAGGAGGTACTGAACCGGAGATTTTAGACTTTCCATCTCTGCTTCTTTCTCTTGCAATTTCCTTGCCAGTTCCTCCACCTGATTGCGGAGCTTATCCTTTTCAAGTTTGTGTTCACATTTGTCTGGTTTATAACTCTGACTGAATTTCTTCTTATTTGCCCTCTTTTCTGGTCAGAAGATTATTTTCTTTTTGCATTCACTTCACTTGATGAAGATTTTCACAACCATTTAGCTGCAACTAGCTTTTTCTTTTCAATGCTGCACACTTTTATGCAGCAGAGTTCTCGAGATATTTTAACATACTGTTCGCTACATTCAGTAGATTGTGCAAGTTTTCTCTATTTCCCTTTGACCAATGCTAGAAGTAAATAACCGCTTTTCTCCAATTAATATAATCGTTTTTACCACCTTCATATACGAAGCTCGCAGAGCTGCGTCCTTCGGTGATCCAAATTTTAAGTTACATCATTATTTCTCCAGTTATTTGTACACAAGGCAGCTGCACAATTCCAGTGCCATTTCTTTCTGTTGTCCGATGGCTATGTTCAAATATTTTTTTTCAATATTCATCAAACCAGATTCAGTCTCTCCCGATGTGAAATTCGGCAATGATGAAAACTTTGCCATTCATTCATCAACCTGACAGAGTGGCGCCACTGACGCGAAAGGCAAATGATGTGTCAGCATTTGATTGGCGATATGAAACACACGTGAAAACATAATCGTACTTTTTCAGGTGTGTGACGGTTTTTCTCTGGCTGAAAATCCGTGTATGACACTGCAGTTTATATGATAGATACTAATATTTGCAAGATGTTCCCAGAGATGTTTGACCCTGCAGGTGCAATCATAGCATATCTATGATTAGCAATATGGTGGATTGGTTACCTTCCTGAGATTATTTCTAGGCATAAGGAAGGTACTTACCATGGATTCTGACTATACTCAGACAGGTTATTCAATGTGAAAAGTCTACTTAGGATGAGTCAGCCAGTATTGTAGTATATGCATTCTAATATGATCTTAACAGGCACATACTGAAAACTAAGGGTTCTACAAAAAGAACCTGCGCTATGCCGGCTATGAAAAACCACTCTTCAGAAGTGGCCAAAAAATATGTGGAAACGTATTCCTCATCTAATGCAGCAGCAAAAAACCCCAAGGAAAGAGTAATCTAATCTGGTTACACTGCTAATCACGAAGAAAAATCAATGAATGTAGTGACATTTTACAGGGATTTGGAAACAAAAATTACATCAATAGGAAAAAAAAAAGGAAAGTGGTGAAACATAACACTGACCGACCTAGAATGGCTTAATTTTCTTGCGAAAGGCATAAATAATCCAAAACTTTCATGATGCCACATGAGCCTTTAAAATGTGCCATCAAACTATTAATTTCTGATTAATTCGTTCCCCATGTCTCTCAAACATTAGAAATTACATATTCTGACTACACTCAGACGAGTCATTCAATGTGAAAAGTTTATTTAGGATGGATCAGCTACTCTTGTTGTATATGCATCCTAATAGAGACAAAGAAAGGGAAATGTGAAGCTTTAAGTAAACACAACAATTAAATACCAAACTTTTTGACACTGACAAACGTGAACTCAAACTATCGTTAACATAGCTATTTTCAGCGGAAACAGATTTCCAATGTCCGTGTCTCTGAAGAGTCTTTCTGAGACACCAGCATTAGCTGCAGCTAAAGCACCACCAGCTCTCAAGGAATGAGTGCTAAATAGAGAAATATCTCGAACAATCCCCTCAAAGCTAGATTTGAAGCAATCCCTCATACAGAAATAACTTAGCGGCTGTTAATGGATACTAGTCTGTGACCTAATTTGAATTTGTACAAGGTTCTGAGGACGTTATGGCCTGTCTGAACTGGAAAATTTTCAACCTTACTTCAATAACACCTGAAAATTTTTACTGGACAGGTATGGCTCCCTTTCCTAAGTTTATCTGTCTTACTTCTATCAACATTAACAGTTACTTGGTCACTGTGAAAACTAATGTCCCCATATCTAATATGAAGAACCCAATATGGAAGACACCAGCAAAAGAAAGAATAAAAACACACATTTCGTAATTAAAGTAAATTATCTAGGTTGGACTTCTTGACAAGCTTCCTCATCATGTTTGGAGAAATTGGTTCTGTGTTATAAGCATGAGTTCCAATTATTCTGTTCGACAGTTGCACCTAGATGTCTAAGAAGGGAAAGAAAACATGATGTTGGTGCATACGAAGACTGATTCATGTATTAAAATTGTTTATACCACATGGGAGGATCCAAGACTCAAAAGAAAATTTCCCATCTAAAATGCAAGATTCGTTAGCAAGCATTGAAACATGCTCATCTTTGTAAGGAAAAAGATCGGGAAATACAGGAATTAAAACTAAGGGAAATACATCATGACATTATATCGCAATGCCTTATGATACATTTACCACCCCTATGGAAACCAGAGATGAATCCACTATACCAGCTGGGATAAAGAATTTGCAGATGGTCACCATTTTGCCTACCATGAAATAGATTCCAAATAGAGAGACAAAATGTAAAACCATTTAAAAGTTTATTAATTACAAAAAGGATGCTACAGGTGTTGAATAAAAATGTGTAATATTATAATTGTTTGAATTGTAATTAATAGTTAATCGAAGATAATCTTCTATAAGGCGTGCTGCTACATCTTCCTCATAATCTACAAAACCCCAACTTATGACTGGTATGATATTACAAATCTGATTCACAACCATAAAAAGTGAAATTGGTTAAAAAGTACTACAATTTCATCATCCTCCATATCTAAAAGACACCGTAATGTGAAAAAAAACTCGTTGAGATCCTCCAGAGGGAAATCATCCAAAGGGAATTCATTCTCAAAATGTAAAAAATTTAATTTTATGGTCATTACTTGACCACATAGTAGCCAGCTACTCATACCTATGGAGGTCTTTTTCTTGGATATCATAACGATGTATGAATTGATTTATGTTATACACTGAAAGAACATGATTTTAAAAAAATCAACATCCTTAAAATAAATAGCTAAATTAAAGTTTTTCATCACTGATAATTCAAATTTTAAATTACTGGAAAACCAATAGAGGGCATCTGTATCCACATAGTTTTCATGTATCTACAAAAGAGAAACCCCATAAAAATGGATGTGGAAAAGTTGACCATAAAAGTAATTTTGCAGTAATTCCATGGGTATGCGATTATTACCAGGAGGTACTTCAACAAACGGTAACACGGAATTAGGTGACACTGGTTGTCAACCCAACCCACTTTGTCAGAAACCCCACTTTGAAAAAATCAAGACTGAGACTCAGACCAAGTTGTAACAAGTCTTGTGTTCGACAAGCGAGTTTTAGATCATTCAAACACTGTGAAGTCTTATCCTTATGAATATTTGCAACTGGATGCATAAGATTTGGAGAACATGGACTTGTTGCTTTCATAAAAAAAATATTGATACTCAAAGCGAACATTTTTAAAATTTTTTTTTAAATAAAACAAAGTCTTAAAAAAGGTTTACGTGATGTGTTTGTTATTTCTTGAATCTCTTGGGTGACCATTTCCATTTTGGTGGGGCATACTACTTTTTGTAACTTTCCATAATAATTCCTCCATGTTTCTTCGATTTGTTTTTCTTGAGAAATCATGCATAATTTACATTTGCGGCATCGACATGAATACACTCGTGGCATCTTCAGTGTCTACAACTTACCAAAAAACACTACACTGAATGTTTGACTGGGATTGACTGCATCGCAAATACATTTTGCCATGATTTGTTCCTGATTAGTCAAAGACAATGTGGGAGTCATTCCACATTCGCACACCATCTTGTCAATTCTGTCCAGGGTGAACCATGGGTGACCCAGTCTTTGACATTCATAGTAATAATGGTTGTAATCATTGAGATTAGAAAAGACTGGGCAACAGGCGGTCGGGCAACGGGTGGTTAAGCAACGTAGGAATACATCGTCAAAATCTTCTTTTTTAGATTACAATTCGTCCATCATGGTCTGGTGGATCGGACATGGATAACTGACTTCCACACTAACCAACAATTCTTCCAAAGAAGAATAATGAAAGGTACCTGTACCTTCTACCCCAGGTATGATTTCTCCTTCTTCCATCACTTCAGTCTTCTCCAGGGTTGCTGGGTCATTTATTTATTTATTTGATCACTATTTATCTAATCAATATTTAAACAGGGACATCGCATTTAACATAGCTAGGTATTATATGTATGGTATTTCTTAGCTTGAGTAAAATCATTCAATAGGTAGGAGGGTGCTAAGCTGTTCAAAATGATACAGGATGACTGAGGCAATATCTTTCGTGCTCTACACAACATTCCTAATCTAGACAAGATCTTCTTTCCCAAGTAATTAATGTGGGACTTCCAAGAAAGTGTTGGGTCCATAAAAACCCCTAGATATTTAAACTTCTAAAATCGATTTTTTGAGGCTCTGAAACTATCCAATTAACACAAACACTTTGAGAACGATTGGTTAAGTACGAGAAAAAACTATTGTCTGACAGAGGTAGAAAAATAAAAGGAGTGCACAAATTTATCTAAAAGAAGGTTGTGGTTGAGAGTGTCAAAAGCCTTTCTGAGATCTAAAAAAACCAGTCCAGTCAACAATCCTTTTTCGATATTCTGTAAAAGGGTGTTAGTTACATGGGTCAAGCAGGTTGAAGTGCTGTGGAGAGGGCGAAAGTCAGACTACGATGGAGACGTAAAGATCTGTTCATAAGCAAGGTAAGGAGCTCAGATATTTTGTCTGAACCATCCTTTAGAATTCGTGCTGGTAATCCTGGGATGCCTGTTGATTTTTTCACTTTTAGAGACTTTAATTGCTTTTTAACAAACTCTGGTTCCATCTGAGAGAGCTTGAACGATGGCGGCAAACTTGTTTGCACTGGGATAATATAGGTACTAACTCGCAATAAACCCTCTCTTAGACTTCCAATGATGGTTTTAAAAAATGACGCCAGATGAGAAGATAATGTTTTGGGATCTGTGATATTATTTCCGTCGACAACAAGTGTCGATCTGACTTGATCTAGTACCAGATAAAATAGCTGACTTCATAGCATTCCAAAGTTTTCCTGAATCGTTTTTGTTTTCCTCAATTAGTATAGTCGTTACGTTTAGCATTTTGAATCTGAGATACTACTTGATTTCTGATAGCTCTATAAGTAGCCCAATCATTGCAAGATCCAATTTTTGTGCCTTCTTATGATGGAAATCTTTGATCAGATTTCTGATGTTTTCATTTTACCATGGAACAGTAGAAGATCAAGTTCTCATTGTCATGAAGGGGGCGTGGTTATCCGCTATATCCATAAAGATTCTTTTGAAAGCCATCCAAGCGTCATTTTCTGT